CTCGGTGCAGCAGCCTCGGCTCCCGGGCACCGCGGGTGCGACCCCAGCAGCCACCAGCCCCGCGCCCTATGCCGTGGGTCCCTTAGTCCTGCCTCTGGCTCGCTCTGTGCTGTGCCTTTTTGTTTTCTGGCGTTTTAAAAACAGTGACGTTCTTGAATATGCAGATTCAAGCATCTGGGATTGTAAGACAAGGGCCAAGTATCACAAGCCTGTGGTTAGAACACCTGCCAAGGACAATGTTCCCAATTCTGAGCTCCCAAGAACAAWAAAACTAAACAAGGAACCAAAATTTAAGCTAATTAACTGAAATAGCATTACTGTTCTAACGAACATGGTGCAGAATTGACTCAGTTGCTACTGGCTCAGGCTCAGATGAAGGACCCCAGCTCCTACCATAAATACGTCTTTTGCACACTATGTGACCTACTTTTGGTATTGACCACCACGAAAAACTGCATGTTTATAGAACTTAAGAAATGATCAAAATGTACAATAAACTAGTTCTTTTTCAGGATACTATGAAAATACTTAAGAATTATCTGTCCTTGTGCAGTTGAAAACATAAAGATTGCTCTTGGCTGACAGAGCTGAGATTATTTTTTTTGTTGTGCAATACTGCAGTCTTACTCTATGTGTAAAACTGCCTTTGTTTTGGGTTGTGGGTCTTTTTTTGTTTGATTTTTTTTTTGTTTCTTCCCCCCCACCAAGTATATAGGCCACCCTAGAAGCAAATGCCTGACATAACAGACCAATAACCTGTTCTAATGTTGCCACTCCTGTGATCTTGTTCAAAGTATTCTTGCATTAATTAGATGACTTTCTATGCATGAATCATGGATTATCCTTTGCATAATCCAAAATATACCTTGGGAAAACTAATTCAGAAATAAAATTTCATATAAATATAGGAAACCTAAAATTGCTATTTTAATGGGATTGGTTATCCTAGGTGAGTTAATGTTTCTTCTTATGGTATATTCCTTAAAAATTTGCAGAAAATCTTTTCTCAGACTGTCATCAAAAGCAGAGTAAATTTTCTTGATGGTTTGTCTTATAAAGCTTTACTGCTTAAACTGTATTCTTCTTTACTGACAGCTAAAAAAGAGAATTATTTTTCCTAAAATTAACAATTTTAATATTATTAGCCCATGGTAAATGAAAACCCAACAGTGTATCAAAACTGATATTTAGTTGGTTTTCAGTCTCTTAACTGTCAGTTCTTGCACTTCTACTGACAAGGGCAGGCGGTGTGTTCCACAGATAGATGCACAGATTAACTTGGGTCTAACAYCTGATTGTTACTCGTATTTCAGCAAGAAGGCAACGCAATCTTGAAGAGCTGTGTGTGACAGATGCCTGCCGTGCTCCATTGGACACTGTCACAATTGACTAGCATCTTTTCCACCTCTGTCCCTGGTGGCACTTGTGGCCACTGTTATGGTTTGGTTACTGGACTAGWTGGAGTCTGATCTGGTGTGTCAGGTACATAATACATATGTACATATATGTAATACAGCAGCAGTTCAGCCAGTAATACCTGGAACACTTACCAGCACAGTACTGCTGGTTAGATTTTTCTAATTAAGAGTTKAAATAGCAATTTCTGATTAAGCGTTTGCCGAACTGTATGCATGTGCATTGTATTATATGGGTGAAATCATAATCTCTGTTATTTTTTCTGCTGGGTAATGAACAGGGTTTTGGTGGTATTTAAGCTATGATAAAAGGCAAAGAAAACATARCTACCATCCTTTGAAATTTGAAAAGCAGTGGTTACTGTATCTCTCTGGGATTTCTGGCATGGAATAAGGTGTGGTTTGGGCAGTATGGTACACAGTGCACCCGATGTGTGTCTGAAATGCTGCCTGTATGGGATGTCAGGGGAGGCTGTATCGTTTGCACACAGTGAGGTTGGCCTGCCATAGTGCACCACGGGTCATGCATACAACTGCACAGCGCAGATAAACCACGCTGTTTGTCCACTGCAGATCACACACGTCCCAGACACACCAGAGTCACTGCTCACAATGACACAGGGTACTTGCTGCCAGCAGGTACCATTCAGAATTTCTTCTATCCAGAGCCATATATATTATATCCTTTTCTAGCTTTTTCTCTGCTGAATGCGCAGAGGTCTTAGACATAAAGTCAAGGGCCATGTAGCTTATTTGTGAGGGATTTGACTCCTTCCAAAAGCAGGGGAGTTGGCAGGTAGGGGAAATTAATTTTTTTTTCTCCTAAATTTCTCCTAAATTTGCCATCATTTTGCTAATGATTTTTACCCACATGCCTATATAAATAAGTCTGGGCTCAGGTTTTTTTCCCTTACAATACTGATGTCCAACATAATACAGCAGCTTGAGCACTTTGTTTCTATGTCTAAGATGCTGCTCAAAAAAGGCCCAAATACTCTTATAAATACTCTACTAAATCCAAATTTTATTAGATTGCTTTGTGAAGCCCTTGTAAATACCATTTTTAAGTTGCAGATCTTTTTTCAGGTTGACTGGCTCACGTAGTCTTTTCACCACAACATTTACAGATTTCTGATGTATTTAGGGAGGTGTTTAAYGGCTGGAAGTTGTATGAGAGGAGTTACCAGTTTTACTTGGTACAGCCCAGACTCAGCAGATTTACAGCAATAATTTACATAATGGCACAGAACACCAGACACGAATTTTAGACCAGGCCTGACTAATGGTCAGAATGGACATGGAGACAAAAAAGTGGGATTTGAATTAACAATACATATATTTATGTTATAGTCTTCCTAGCCAAAGTTTTTCAGTGGAAAAATTCCACGTGCTTTTTTCAAAATTTATTACTAATGTAATCTCTCTAGTTACTGAGTGATAAAATATAAATACTGAATTTGTTTTTTGATTTTTTAAGTTTCTGATTAAAATAGGAAAATAATTTTATTCAAAAGACAGAGACATTCTGCAGAATATTTCTAATGAGACAGCTGTCTAGAAAAAAAAATTATAGTATATTTAATTTGTCTGGCAACAAGGGCAACAATTCAACTACAAAATGTAAACAACTGAAAATATTTTCATTATTGGTAAGTATGATGTCARTAATAGTCAAAGATACACTTGGTGGAAAGACATGTCTTCAAACATAAGAGAGGGTATATTTTGGCTTTAATCAGCTGCCCACATSAGTGGCAGCTTCTTTAAGCACTGTGTTTGTAATAGAGCTGCTGAAGCTTCTTGAACAATAGCAATTTTACAAAATAATACTTGCAATTGTCATCATGGTTTAACCAGAGGCATGAATCATGGAGAGACCTCATGCACACTCGGATCTTACACTCAGCTGAGAGGTTTCTTGAAGTTAATTATCATCCTGTTGCTATTCTTCATTAAGACACACCTCTTGGTGTGCAAAGTAGTTTTTTATTCATTTAGTTCACACAAGGCCTGGCTAAACAGGAAAGAATGTGTATCATCTGTGTCTTTTGAAGGGTGAAGTTCAGAAACTTTTACTGCATTGCCCCCTGCTATGACTTAGACATGAAAAGCTGTGGCTCTGCTGCTCATAAGTTCACACATTCAACTCTCAGAACTGCCCTCTCTGTATCAGCTGACACTCAGAGTTTGCAATGCTTTTGCACAGGGAAACAGCTGGAGGTGAGGTGGAAAAGTTTCCCAGGTTTTACTCCAGAATTCTTCATTTCACTTAGATGTTAGCAATTTGAATCTATAGCTACTAATGTCCATTAACTAAACATCTACTCCCTCCCACYTTCTCTAAGAGCCACAGTGTGATGATCCTATGGGATTAGTTTCATTCAGACTTCCAAGTGACAGCTCCTGTCTCTCAGGGCTGGATGACAGACCAGTGATTCCAACCTGAAACAATCATCATTTTCAGGACMAGAGCTAGACTCTTGTGAGAAACTGCTGTGAGAAAACCATCCAAAAGCTCTAGCAAATTGAGAATTGAGAGCTTTATTTGGAGAAGCTAGAATTGTCTAGCTTATACACAACTCCAGCTCAGGGAGGTGAACAAGCTCTGTGCACACAAAGCCAAGCTAAGATGTTTGTGACTGATAAGTRATAGCCTGACTAGTGACCAAAACAACTTGCTTAAAATCATATATGTTATRCCATATGTTATATGACAACTTGTTTCAAGAAGAGACTCTTTTTGTCCAATTTTTCTCAGTAAAAAAACACAGTACCCTAAACACAAATAAAGAAAATGTCTTGTACCAAATGAGTAAAAAGCAATTAAAAGAAGACACCACATCTACTTAGGGACAAATGGATGTTTTGCACCCAAATGTCAAGAGTAACATTTCTACAGACTCCCTATATCATACTGCACATTCATKCTCAAGAGAGGGAATTATTTACTTGAACTGGAACACTGTGTTGAGCAAGAGACTGAAATGAGTCTGGAGGGTATGATAAAAGCCTATCTGCAATTTAAGTTCATTTGGTTTGTTTTCTTCATTAGAACTTACTGCAGTTTGTCTCCTACAGGGTGTCATTGTTCTGTTACTAAACAATACAACAATGCTTAATAAACAGTATTCTGTTTCCTGTGTGTATTTTAGTRTGCACTATGAAAGAACTGGGATTTGTTATTTTTCCCACAGCCTTCTAATACCTATGAATTTTGCCTTAATTCCTTRATTCATTGTTAAGGAATTTTGATACATACAATAAAATCAAATATGAAAACAAGTTAGTATGTGCATCACTTAATAAGAAAAACTCTGTTAAAAGTAAAGGGCATTCTTCTYTTAAACTACTCCTGTTGGAGGTTATGGTTGATCTCTTTAAGACAGTTGGATT